ATATTATTAGTACTTGAAATATTAGTAATAGATTACTTAGTAATCTTAATAGTAATTTTAGTAATAAGATTAATACTTTAAAGATAGACTTTATAGTATTTTTTTAAGAAATTAGTAAATACCTAAATATATTAGAAAAAACTTATTTTTAGGATATTAACTCAAGTAATATTATTATTTATCTTATTAAGATAGAAAGAAGAATTCCGAAACTTATTAGTATTTTTCTAGTCTTTAAAAACCTAATTAATAGTATTATTCTTATTAGTATAATACTATTTAGGATATGCTTTAAGAAATTTCTTAAAAGTTATAATAATATCTTTCCAGAACTAGTAAGCTTCTAATAAATAATAAGAAATCTAAAATTAAATTAGCTTTAATAAATATTAAAACTAAAGAACTTACTAATATATAAGACTTAGAACTCTTATTATAATAGTTATAATTTTTCTTGCTAGGTACTATAATATATAAGATAAAGAAATTAATAAGTAAATACTTGAAATATTTCAAGTATTTACTAGTAATAGGAAAAGAGGCTATAAGATTACTTTTATACTTATTATTATATAGGTAAATAATAAAGCCAGAAAAAGATATTATAGAATTAATTAAAAATAATTAAAGAAAACTTAGAAAAGAATAAAAAAAGAAGCTAGAAAGTAATAATAGAAAAAGTTATTATATATATAATTATTAGAAAGAAAGAAAGTATATAGTAATATAAAGAGGTCTTTTTATAAAAGTAAAGAATTACCTGAATTAATTACTAGTTTTTATATTAGTCCTAATCGGAAATTAGTATAACTAATTAATATATATTTCTAGAAGCCTATAAATAATCTTTAGGATCTCAGAAATATTTATATAGGTTTCTTATATAAATATTTATTAAATTCTTTTTATATAGCTATTTAGATTATTCTAATATAAGATCTAATAGGTAGTATTAATTTTATAAAGTAGTGCCTTAGTATTTTAAATTAAGCTAATTAAAATACTCAGATCCTAAATAGAATTATAATTACTAGCTAGTTCTTATATCTAGGATATAATTATTTTTCTTTCTTGCTTACTTAGCTCTATTCTAATTAAATAATTTTTATATCTATTATCTAGATTATATTAGTAAAACTATTTCCCAAGATACTAGAAGTTTATCTTAATTAAATTAATAATTAATTAAATATTTACTAGGATAAATTAATAGATCTTGGGAACAAGATTCTAGGAAAGAGATATAGTTATAATATATATAGGATTATACGTAACTTAAGGGCATATAATAAATCTCGGATATTACAGGTATTAATTAGGGAAATCGGAAGCCCTTTGACTTTATAACTAACTACTATTTATATTATAAATATTAGACTTATAAATTACTAATTATATATATATTATTAGGGTCTCTTATTTAGAGGGGGCTTTCTTAGACCTTATAGGAGAAATAGAGATTAGTTCTATACTAAATTTAATACTGTGGTTTTATAACTTACTAATTTATTTTATTGTCTTATTACTTACTAATAAATACCTTATATTTAACTATATCTCATATAAGCTTCTAAGCGGCTCTAAAATCGAGTTTCTATAGAATACTACTTCTTGGCTTGAATTTGAATATATTATTATTTATAAGGAACTATTATTAGATAAATAAAGTAATAGTAGTATAAGATATTTTGGTTTTAGCTAAAATTTAAATAGGTATATAGCCTTTATAATAGAGAGTTTAAAGCCTTAATTTTTTAGCCGGGATATACTTCTTTTGAGTAATTTTTAATATAATAGTTATAATTTAAAGTTTAAAGAAATATTATTAAAGAAGTAAGAACTAATTCAAATTTTATTATAGAAAAATAAAATAAAGTATATAAGGATTTAAGCGAAAAAGTAATAATAACTAATCTGACCTAATTATATTAGAATACTAAATCGAATTATTATTAATTTTATATTTAGAATTAAAATTCTTTTTTTATTTATATTAAGCCTATAAATTATATTTAATATTAGTAATAAGCTACTAGAAAGAAAAAAAGAAAATAAGTAAGCTATTAAATAATTATAATCGAGAATTATATATAGAAGCTAATTTAAAAAAAAGAATAAAAGCTTTAGAATTAATAATAGTATTATAAGAATAAGAAAGTAAAAGAAAGAATTTTATAAAAGAAATAAGAAGAAAAAGGAAGTTGCGAAAGTTATATTTTAAAAAAGAAAAACCTTAAGAAAAGTTTGAGATATAATCTAAAGAAAAAGTAAAAAAGAGGTAAAAAGTAAGTAAAAGTTTAAAAGAAAGAAATAAGGTATAAAAGAAAATAAAGAGAAATAAATTAAGTAAGTAAAGAGAAAAGATTATAAGAAGAGAGAGAGAAAATAGAAGAGAAGAGAGAAAGTAAAAAGTAAAGCAGATTAAAAAACAAGCTTATAAATTAATAAAAAGACAAGTAAAAAATATATATAAATAAATATAAATATTACTACTATTATTAGCTTTAATTTTAAGGCAAATAAGGCTTAAAAGGCTTATAAAAGATTAAAAAAAGCTTTATAATTACAAGTAAGCTTTATAAGCTTATAAAATAATTAAAATATTTTATAAATAAATAAAAAAGCTATAAAAATCTTATAAATAAAAATAAGTTTTAGAAAGATTTATAAAAGAAAAGAAAGCTTTTTATAATAATACTAGTTATAGTTATATAAGAGTAGCTATTATATAATTAATTTCATTTAGCTAGCTAATATTTTAATAATTTTAACTTGTATTTTTATTTTTTTATTTCCTTTTTCTCTTTCTTTCTTTTCTTCTTTTCTTTAGCTTAATATTTTTAATATATGAAATTCTCGGAATTTTAAATTCTTTTAATTATTGCCCTAATTTTACTATTATATTTTTTATAAATAAAAATAAGGCTTAAAAGAGCTTATAAAAATATATATAAAATAAAAGACTAATTATTAAATGAAAATTCCTAAAAATACAGGATTTTTTATATATTTATATATTATATTAATGCGAGTTTATAAATATAATATAATTATATTTAATAAAAAAAAGATTTATAAATATAAATAAGGCTTAAATAAAAATAGAGATTTTTATAAATATAATTAAAGAATATAATTAAAGAATATAATAGTTTATATATAAAAAAAAATTTATATTTAAAGTAAAAGTTATATAATTCTTTTAATCTCGAATTAAAATTAAAGTAATATTAAAACTAATCTCGAAACTTATATATAGCTACTAGATTTTAATTTCATATATTATATTTTAATTAATTTATAATAATTTAAGACTTTTCTATAATAAAAATTAAGTTAAATTAAATATAATTAATATAAATATAAATAAATATTAAAAAAAACTAATACTTGCAAATATAAGTAATATTATTATTCGAGTTTTAACATTTTAATTATTTAATAAGTATATATATATAAAATATACTTGTATTCTTATAACTTCTTATATTCTAGTTTTCCCTTCTTTAATTTTAAATTGTCTTTTTAAGAATTTTTTTTTTCAAGTTTTATATTTAATATTTATAATAAATAAAAGTAATTATATCTTTTTTTTCTTCTTATGCCTTTATAACTTTTTAGTATTATAACTTATCCTTTACTAACTATTGCCTTAAAATCTAGCAATAAGAAGCCTATAATTATAATGGTTTCTTTTTCTTATAATTCACGTAATTTAAAGCTTACTTTTAACTTTTAAATTTTTAACTTACTTACTCCCCCTCCCTAATATCCTTCCTCTCATACTATTATACTTATATATATATAAATAAGAATTAAAGAAAGAGAGGAAATATTTTAAGTAGTAGTAGAGGCTTAGGGAGAGAGTGGGGGGGCGTGGTGTACAGGCGTGAGCCATTTTTGGTGAGGTGATCACGTGCCTAGTTCGAAGTTCGAAGTTCAAAGTCGTAGCTGCTGGCACATCTGATTCTTACGGCTTTCCGTACTATTAGGATGGAAATTCGGCTTGCAGATATTTCTCCTAGCAAGTTTAGGCGAATTCCCCGATCTCGGACAGGCAAAAGCTTGCTTTTTGGGCGAAGATGTGAGTGGTCGGCTGAAGAATATATCTTCTTTCCCGGCGCAGTGACGTATTTAGCTCCCATAAGGCCAAACTCAAGGAGGGTACAGGCCATGTAAACCCCTGCTAAGTCCAATAAGAGGAAGTGGTCAAGAAACCACTCCTCCCTCATGCCGAGCTCAAAAGTTACATTTTTTAGTGTGGAGCGCTGAGAGGCTAGGCGGTCGCCTGCAGGGCCCAACACATGGCGGTGATGGATGCATCTCGAACGGCTCACGAGTCATTTATTGTGTAACGTGAGGCCAAACCAACGAAAGACAATCCATTGAACCAGAAGTTGTATACTCTTTCGTTGCTTTATACTGAAGGCTCGGAATATAGAATCCTACGGAAATTTTGAATATAGTGAAGATTCGTCTTATCGGGAAAGGGAGTCACCAAAGACGATCGCACGAAGTCAGATTAAGATTAACAGAGGGCTGAAATCAGATTTTCAAGCGGGATGAAAAGATCGACTAGATACAGCAGTCTGGGAAACTCCAGACGCCCCTACCAGTAGGAAGCATCTTCCTAGGCCGCATCGTGGTTGACGTGCGTGACGCTAGTGGCTGCTCCAATGGGTCGGCACGCCGCTGACGATCCTGCGGTTCGCACCGTCAACCCCTTCCCAGCTTATTGGGAAGGCGGAGAAATATCTCCAGCAGTCACAGGATTGTTGTGTTTATGAGGGTCAAAGCCGCGCCCATGGCAAAATCATCGAACATTTGGCAATACAGAAAAATAGTTCGGCCCAGCTGGTCATGGCAGGTTTTTGTATATAAAGGGTCATGCCCATCATGAGATATTCGAATTATCAACAATATCCTTCACTCCATTCAACGTTCTTCGGCCTTCCAACTATCTTTTGCATCCTCAACTCCCCTGTATTACCTGCCTTATCAACTTGATCCCATCCAAAGATCACACTTCAACTCAGCCTTCATCCACAACCTTCATCACTATGTATTCCAACATGTCCATCTTCTCTAGAGCAACCATCCTGGCTCTCTTTGCTACACAATTTAGCATACCCTCATTTGGCCACCCAGTCTTGGAGCAACGCACCCCTCCCATCGTCATGGGGTCAGCCATAACCTTCGGCGCGATCGCCGCTACGACTCTCACCTCCACCGGTGCAACAGTGTAGGTCCATTTCCCTTCTCAACTCTCTCTCTCTCTCCTTTGCCTTTACTCCAGAGAATTTTACAATGTACCAACATTAAACTTACTAAATGATTTCAGGATTACAGGAGACTGTGGCACCTGTCCCGGCACAGGAATCACCGGATTCGGCGCCGGGGCCGGAGTATGCACTGGCAGCATTGACGCTGGCAACACCGCCGCTTGCAACGCGGAGGCCGACTGCCTCACGGCCTACAACGATGCCGCAGCGAAGGCCCACACCAATACTCTCGCTGCCACCGACCTCGGCGGCCTAACCTTAGACCCAGGAGTCTACATCTTCCCAACTTCCAACGCCGCTCTCTCCACCACACTAACGCTCAACGGGACATCCAACGCCAACGGCCAATTCATCTTCCAGATCGCGACCACGTTCTCGGCCTCCGCTACCACATCGGAAGTCGTGTTAGTTGGCGGCGCCCAGGCCTGCAATGTCTACTTTATTGTTGGCTCTTCTGCTACTATTGGTGCGGGGAGCCAGATGCAGGGGAATATTCTGGCGTATACGAGTATTGCTATCAATTCTGCGGCGAGCAATAAAGGGACGTTTTGTGCGCTTAATGGAGCTATTACTTTGATTGATAATGCGCTTACTGCGCAGGCTACTTGTTCTACTTGAACACGTTGCTCTGCGAAGCGTGGGTTGAAACGGGTGTGGGACAGGAAAATGCTTGGACTGAATACTTTTCTTTCTGTTGGTTGATGAGTGCTGGAGCTTTTAGAGCCATAATGGATGCTGGTGGTAGGATATGACTATTCCATGCTTAAGGGTTAAGAGTCCCTTTACCTCGTTGCAGTGGCTTGATATAAAGTTTCATACCTAAAAGTAGCGGGTTCTCAATAGCCAGATAAATACCAAAGGTTTCGAGGGCAATCTGCTCGTCCAAATGAGGAGTTGATTGACAATATCTGAACTTTAACAAATAAAAATTTGAGCGCTGAAGCAGGTTGTGTGGTGGTAGCCCAGCCTTCCCATCGTTGCATCTAAGCGGGGTTTCAGGGGCTCAGGAGTAAAATTTGCAACGACAGTTCGTCAGCTTATCGACACTTCATTGACTGGCCGTATTTGTTCCTGTTTCGCTGGTACTACAGTGATGCAATGTCTATGGCCACAGAAGATCTAATTCTTCTAGACTTCAAACCAGCCCCGTATGTAAAAGAGCCATATTTTCGTATCTGCCGTAATACATGGAACGACTGCTTGTTACTCCTCTATTCCTAGCAACCGCAATCCCTAAAATTTCCGATGCCATCTAGCCCCTTTATCGCCCTTGCGAACTCTCTATTCGAGAGACAACCTCGTCCTAACTGACATCTCAGCAACGGTCCCGAGGTGGGAGGCCTGCAGGAGTGGTCACGCGGTCTCGGTAGGTCTTTATAGCAAAAGCAAAGAAACGGTCCACATCTTCAGCAGTCGATACGAGACCAAATGATACGCGAATAGCACCACCAGACGGGAGGCCCATGAGGTGTATTATTTCGTCGAGGGAAGCTGTCTTCGAGTGACGCAGTTGGCGTAAGTTGGAGACATGCAGGTCCAACGCATTCTCGGCCACTCCGGGGTTGCAGAAACAACCGGTGCGCAGTGATATTCTCGCCGCAGCTGACTCTGCAGCTACGAGTCGTTCATCAACCACTTCGCCTACTGCATCAAGGAAGTTGAAGGCTATCGTGCCTCCCCGTGACTTTGTGTCTTTAGGACCATAGATCCTAACTATCGGGGTGCCATTACTATGCTCTAAACGTCCTAGACGGTCTAGAAACCAGCCTGTCAGACACCGTACCCGTGTGGCAATGACATGCATGCCAATCCTCGCCAGCCAGTCTAGCCCAAAGGCAACGTCAGGAATAGAGAGGAAGTTGAGAGTACCATCCTCGAAAGCGCTCTCGTCGGAGGCCATCTCGTGCCACTGGACCCCTACAGCGACAGCTTTGATTGTGCCTCCAGAGAACCACGGACGAGACATGCGCGCCAGCGCAGAGCGCTTGGCGATCAAGCAGCCCACTCCAGTCGGATAACCAAACAGTTTGTACCAGCTCACGATGAGAAACTCTGGCTGCACAATGGACAGGTCCAGATTCCCAGTTGGCAGGTAAGCTGCCGCGTCCAGCAGTACATCGTAGCCTTGCTTCTGCGCCAGTCTAACCCATGACAAGGGATGCCGCACCCCAGAGAAATTGCTCTGTGCTGGATACGCAAAGAGGCCCCGTCGACCAGCCGTCCCTGATCCGAACAGTGTGGCCCAAGGACTTCGACGACGGAGCGCTCTCTTGAGAACAGCCGCATCAATTCGCAACTCAGGGGGCTGGGTAGGAACATAGACAGCCCGAGTGTGGGAACGGCGGGCAAATTCTCTCAGCCCGTTGACAGAGTTGTGGTTGTCGGTCGAGAGAATTAGTCTGGTTCCTCTGCTGAAGGGGTAAGCCTCGCCCACCAACCTCGCAGCACTAGTCGCGTTGGGAGTGAAGATTACCGCGTATTCGTCTGGTGATGCTCGCAGGTACGCCAGGATCTTCGCTCTCGCCTGCTCGATGAGATGGGTCGTCGCCTCGCTGGTGGGATTGGCCGAGTGTGGGTTGCCACATAAAGTGCTCGCCAATCGCTCATCGTGCGCGCTGCGCTGCGCGTAAGCAGCCAGCCCAGATCCTGTGTAATCCAGATATACGTGGTCCTGTTTATCGAGATAGGAATATTCCGTCGCACGCAGTTCATCTAGCCGGGAAGTTGTTCTATACTCCGGATAGGCGTCCGTCACTGTGCTCATTGCACCATGCACAGCTTGTAACGCATCAAAACCAAGACATTTTTCCGCCGGAGCAAGAGTCACATCCGAAGTGGAAGATTCTGGAGTTGTGATTTGAACCATCTCAGCGAGTGCCATTGAAAGGTCGTTGGATGGGATGGGTTTTCGTGAGAAATAGGCTAGTCTTTAAAATATAATATGAATGCAAAGAGAAGCAAATGAAAGAATCCATTGAATCCAGTGCGGTTTTCTGAGTGCTTATATTTTCATTAGCTACGTAGCGTAGCTAGTGCTTCCCTCTGGCTGCACCAACGGACAACTAAGAAGCACGCTGATCCTTAATCACCCATCTTGGAAATTAATGCAACCTCACATAGCAGAAGGATACTATTCAGCGCGATGTGAATAATTGCAGCACTATTTCTGTCTGCTGACATTGGGTGCTGCGCAGCCGCTGCTGCATGTCCTACCGCACCTTGACTATGCCGTCCAGCCCGCCGACGTCGCTTAGCCCAGTCGCAACGCTTCAAAATCTCAAAGCATTGAAATTATTTTTATGTTAAAACCATTTTCAATAACCTTAAATTGAATTATCAAATAGTCAGCTCCATTTAGTTATGAGTACCTAAGCTAAAAATAAAAGGGTTGGCCATTGAAATGTTGTAGGTGTGCTAAGTGAGGTGGGGTCCTGAGAACTGGATGGGGATAGCTCCTCGTTTCTATTCGCCATTGACCTCGGAAAGAAAGCAAGAAATCGAAGCATTGCAGCATGTTTAGCATTTTTAGCATTTAGGGCCCCCATTCGTCGTGCAGTTCAGCTGGACGGTTGCAGATCGTATCCCTCTTCGCTGCCATTTGGGCTGACGTTTTGCTGCACGTCTGACTGTGCCTCGCCGCGTTTGGAAGCAGATCAAATAATCGTGCGCCTGACAGCCACACCAAAATGACCCCTGGTAACCTTATTTTAGTAAAAACGAGCGATGCGGCCAAAACCGAGCGATACAATCACTTTTCCCCCTTCATACAAAAGAGTATTAAGCAGCACTTCGCCCAACGCCCAGTACAGTAATCATTAATCATGGAGTCGCCCCAAAAGCACGATTTGCCACCGATTATCGACGTGGACATTGAGCGGAGTGCCCATGACACCTCGTATCTCAACAACAGCGTTGTCCAAAACCTCGCGTGGAGCGATGTCACGGTCACAGTCCCAGATAGGGAAACCAAGTTGCCTAAGGAGATTCTCAGTGGTGTGAACGGAATCGTTGCCGCAGGTAGGCGTCATACTTTTTAATTCCGTATCCAAACAGAAAATTCCATCCCCCCCCTCTCCTGGAAAACACGAAAACTAAAAAAACAGACTACAATCCATGTGGTCAATATTTCGCATGGAACATGTCTACACGAACTAACAATTTGTAGGAGAAATGATGGCTATCATGGGACCCTCGGGTTGCGGCAAAACAACACTTCTTAATGTTCTTGCGCAGTGAAAGGCATCTACGAAAGCAGAAGTCTCGTCTGTCGTCTTAATCAACGGCAAAATCTCAACCGACTTGACCTTCCGAAGAATGTCCTCGTACGTTGAAAGCGACGATGCGTTGATTGGATCTCTCACGGCGAAAGAGACTCTGTACTTCGCGGCTCAACTCTCCTTGTCTGGATCCGTTGTGGCTAATGAGCGAATCCGAAGAATCAATGAGCTCTTACAAGCCTTCGGATTGACCAACCAAGCAAACACTCTTATTGGCACGCTGCTCAAAAAAGGCATCTCTACTGGTCAAAGGCGGCGATTAAGTATTGCTGCTCAATTGATTTCAGCGCCCAAAATCCTATTCCTGGACGAACCCACTTCAGGACTCGACTCGGTTGCAAGCTTCAAAGTTATGTCCTATATGAGACAAGTGGCCCAAGCAAATAATCTCATTGTTATCGCTTCTATCCATCAGCCATCGACTGCGACGTTTGAGCTCTTTGACAGGCTACTCCTTCTTTCCGCCGGAAAAGTGTGCTTCTCCGGCCTGGTCTCCCAGACCAAGCCGTATTTCGACAGCATTGGCTTTCCCATGCCGTCACAAATCAACCCAGCCGAGTTCGTGCTCGACCTCACTAATGTGGATTTTGATAGCAACGTAGAGGGTTGTCAGGAAAGAATCACCCAAATTCAAAACTCCTGGGCATTATCTCCGGTTGCGTTAGCTCAAGAGGCTAAGATCAGAAACGTCGACCTAGGAGGGGAGAAATTCGCCGATAGCGACAACGAAACGTTCGGTAAAAGAATACTGGTGACTATTTGGATATTGCTCCATCGGTCCTGGATCAAGAGCTACCGGGACGCTGTGGTGTACGGGATGCGCTTCGCAATGTATCTTGGCCTTGCCATCATGATAGGCACTGTTTGGTTCCGCCTCCCACCAATAGAATCCAGTATCCAGCCATTTGCAAATTGCATTCTGTTTGGATCATCCTTCATGTCGTTTATGGCAGTCGTCTACGTGCCAGCCTTTCTCGAGGACCGCGCAGTGTATATCAAGGATCGCGCAAATGGTCTTTACGGAAGCACGGCATTCATCATCTCAAACTTTCTCATCGGACTGCCTTATCTCCTTATTATCGCATTCGCGCCGTCTACATTCGTCTACTGGATAACGAACTTCCGTCCCACAGGCACCGCATTCATGACTTGGGTTATGTGGATGTATCTTAACCTAATCGCAGCCGAGAGTTTAGTTGTGCTCATGTCCGCTCTGTTTCCGCATTTCGTTGCTGCGCTCGCACTTACTGCGTTCGCCAATGGGCTTTGGATGAGTTGCAACGGCTTCATGGTTACGCCGCCTCGGCTCAACCCTTTTTATCGTTACGTTTTCTTTTACATCGATTACCAAGCCTACGTTTTCAAAGGCTTGGTTGTCAACGAGTTCGGATCTAGAGTATATGCCTGTGGAGAGAGCTGTCATTGCATGTTTGAGACGCGGCTGAAAGACGAATGCTTGATTGATGGTGTTGGAGTATTGGAAAACTATGGGTTTCACACTGGTGGAGTGGGTCAATCAGTTGGTATTGTGATCGCTATTGTGTCCGTCTTAAGACTTATGGGATGGGCGGCAATGCAGTGGAGGAAATAAATACCTCGACTATTAATCAAAGACGAAGAAACAATTAATACGGATAAAGGTCATATTTCCTCAAAAACTTCCCTAACTTATTACCCTTACGCTTGCTTACCTTAGATCACCTTTCAAAAAAGAAACAAGTTTCCCTTATATTAGGATCAACGCATGATATTAAGCCGTTATGACTCCTAACTTAAACGAGTTTTTTCTTTTTCTTCAAGTGTCCCTAGTTTGGGATCCCTAGGAGCTGGCTCGATTTCCATGGACATAGTGCTATAGAGATGACAATATTCGCAATATAGAATAAAATCAGAGTAAAGAATGATTCGTAACCGAAAGCGAGAGCAGAAACGTGACTGACCTTTAAGCACGGCGGAGCTGTTTCATGGCTATCAAGCGAAGTCTGACTCATGCCAACCTCCACCCAACTACTAAACCTCATGGCGTCCCCCTTGGACACCGAATTACCACACCATGGACCCAGCCCGCAAGTATCCAGAACCAGCCATGGCATTCGCCAAAACATCCCTTTCTTGCCGGACCGTGTTCGAAGACGTATCGGATTTCGACAGGCATCAACAGGGGAAGGTCTCACAATCACCACCACTAAGGCCGCTTTTATCTATCCAAGAGGGCTGCCTCATGCTGTACCATGCTTGAAGAGATGACGGATACTAATGAGGAGGATAACCATCAATTTAAACTCAAAATAGTAGTGATTGTAGAAGATCTATCAGTTCTAGTTGGGCATGATCGAATGTTATAAATCACCTTGAGGCTTTACACGAAGACAATTCCGATCCGAGGAGTTGGCCCGTTTATACGTTTCAAGTTTCTGCTTTAGCATACAGCAGGTTCTTAGGTAGTAAAAGATCAAAATGTCAGAACACGAAAACCGTGAAATGCGAAATTGCGAAAGTACTTAAATTGGGCGCGTAACTATGCCTGAAATTAAGTACTTTCGTTATTTTTTCCCTCGATATTTCTCTATATTCAAAAATACCCCTAATTTATTTAAAAATAGTTTGCGAAAGGTTTCCTTTTAATGAAAAAGAAAGTAAAAAAGAAATAGGAATTGATTTTTTTTTTTTAAAAAAAAAACATTATGCTTTTAATTAACTAGCTTAAACTTTTATAATTCTTAATAAATAAGATTTAAATGAACTTACTTTATTTGCGCGAGCTAGTAAATAAAACGTAAGTTACTAAAGTAACTAAATAAATAAAAATTTCTTTACTTTTTATACTTTTTCTTTTTTTTCTTTTTTAAATTAAAAACTAATTATTTAATTAGAGAAGAAAAAGCTTTTTTTTATTAAAAATCTTCTTATAAAATTACTTAGCTTTCACGTGAGTTAATATTTAATATATATATAATTGTATATAAAATTGAGATACTTGTATAATTTCGCATTTTATAATTTTTTTGTTTTGCAATTCTAATTCTTTATTACCTAAGAACCTGTTATAAGAATAAAGCTATATTGCCTTGAAATGCCCAAATATAAAAGCTGGGCCGAACTTTTGCTTGTATAAGAGCTGCATTAAAATTTGAGGTTTAAATAAAGGGGAATTAAAGCGTGGTTTATTAGCTATTTCCTTTTATGAAAAATATTCAAAATTGTAATGACTTATATTTTCGTTCTATTTAAATCCATCTTTTAGTCTTTACTCATGTCTGATCCTGACTCGTATTTGAGATTTTTCTTTCTCATGGCTTCTATATTATTGTCTAGAGATTGAGGGGCCTAGCTCTTCATTGATGTCTATTCCTTCTTCGGAATCAAAAGCAGCATGTTGCTTCCGTTGGCCATCGCAACTTTTAAACTCATTTATGGGTCAGAATATTGAAGTCAGTATCGTATACCCTTATCTGTTCCCTCTTCCTCATGTACTTTACCGCTATTTGCTTGACCTCAGATGGTTCAGAGGAATAAACGTGGGGACTTTGAGCGGTCCTCCATGTTGGAACTGAGTGTACGCTGGTACACTGTAGTTTATATACCAGATGTATATATAGAGTGCTTACCCCGCGTAAGCTGAAAAATCAAGTCGTCAACCTCCAAAACATTACAACACTCCAAACACCTCGCTTCTAAGCCTTGAACGTGATCCAGACGGAGCCGGGCGTCGCCATCGGAGTTGGTCCTGTAGAAGTGGGCTAGCAGAGATGAAAAATGGAAAATATAACCCTACCTGCCACCCCCTGGGTCTTGGTTCGCTTTCTAATGCAGGGCCTCACTCTGACTCAAATGTCTTCTCTTAATCTCACCTTGTTCTCGTCCCCCTTGTAGCTGCTCTGTCTTTCCCACCTATCTAGGTTCTGCTTCTCTCTCGCCGAAATTTCCTGCTCTCTGAGCTGCTGTGAAACCTTTCTTGCAACTTCTCTCACTCTAGCCGCTCCTGTTCATGCTTCTCATGCTCCAGTCTCTCTTGCTCTAACGTCTCCTATCGCTCGCTAGTTGAGTCTGTTGGTGCAACTCGAGGCCTGCGTTAGACAAGCATGCGGGTGAGGTGACAAATACTATGCAGTCTGCTACATAACACGTTACGCCCTTGAAAAGAATGTCCCCAAGAGAGGAGAGCCGGGTCGACCTGTGAATGCAAAGAAACACAAGCCAAGGCATGAAGGCTGAAGCGCCAGAAGGGCCGACGACATGCGACGAGAGTTGGGAGATGTATCTCGTAACGCGAAACGAGAAAAGAAGGATAACTCGCAAAGCTCTACTTTAAAGCCATGCAACTGGTAATGTAGATGAGTCACGTGAAGGGCAACTATTATCTCTTTTCAAGTTTTTGTCCCCTGCAAGATGCGGAGATAACGCTTTCCCCTCCCCCACCATTTGACGTACTGTTGGTTAGTACTTCAAAAGAAATCTTAACATACTCCACGGTCGGTTGGAATAATCATTTATCCTAGCCACCCAACACGCCGAATTCAGTCGCAGCAGGCACGTCCCGAGGAAGCAGTTCCATTTAGAGTCATCTGATACCCGGATAATACCTCAAGCTTGATTAACAGGATTTCTCCGATTATTAAAGATCTGTCTCTAACACCAGACGCAATTGGCCAATAAAGTGTAGCATTGAAGCGTATTGGTAATATATAAACTTTAACCTTAATAGATTAAAACGCTGGAGACATCGGCCACGCTGGTTCCGAGCCTATCAATATCAACGTTATCGTACGTGAAAGTGCTAGTTTCCAAGCTTTCGTTGCTGTATATGCAGCAAACTCCACTTTTGTTGCTATTTAAAGCTCAATTTTAACCATGCAATCTTAATATTAACGGCAACTCGCACTACGCAACCTAAACTAAACGTCATCCGCGACCTTCACCATCACGGTGAGGCCAGCATTGCAAGTCAAACAAGTCAACCAGCGTGAGAACACGCTCTCAGATCTAACTTTTCAAAACATGCGGTTCAACACCCTCATCTTCTGCCTGGTGGTTGTCGCACCGGGCGTTATTGCCTCAACGCCATCTCCGATCCAGATTCCCGAAGTTTGTTACCCCGACCCTCAGGATAATATCAAACAGAGCTGCGCGGATTGCGAAAACCGAGTCATGGCCGGCGAGTCGTGTCTGTGCACGCTTAAGATATGCGAAGGATGCGGACTTTGCTAGAAGGCATGAAGCCCGCCTGGAATCTCCAGTCTTGGGACTCATTAGACTTTCAGTGGAATTTGATACCTTGTGGAAAAAGATGTTTAGGGTGTTTATACTAGGAGGTCTCTGGAGGGGAGACCTGGGGCTTGCATGGGATGGAGTACCGATTGAAGTGGGGTTCCTTGGGTAGGAAGTTCAACAATTTGTTCCATTCGCTTCGTAAATTGGAATTGGAAGAGCGCTGGGTCTCGCTTTGCGATCTCGTTCACCACAAGGTGATCAGGAGGCAGGGTTTTCTGAATTGCACAATAGCATGAATAGCGTTGCAACTTCACACAATCTCGAGGACCAACAGTTTTTGAGGAATGCGAACAGAGGACAAAAATATGAGTTTGACCTTTGCGCCGAAGCATCCGGTATCCACACAAATAACACAATATTCCATAGTAAGGCCATCACAAGCTCTACATAAACCCAACGCACCGTACCACCCCATTCCGTAGAGCCGCTCGGAATACAAGTTTCTCACTGGGCGTCATGATCTCTATTCGGGGCAGAGGGTTTCTCAGGTAAAGGGAGCGGGGTCGTAGAAGTCACTGCCATCGCCTTGTTCCCAGTCATCGTAATCGCCTTGTTCTTCTGGGTCGAATTGAGTCATGGCTTGATAGCGCACAATCCCCCCTTGCCGCCAGACTTGCTCCTGCCAAGTCTCAACACGCGCAATCGGAATATACAAGGGGTTGCTCGTGACTACCGGCCTCCCGGGGGACGCGGAACCGGGCGGTAGTATATTTCTGGAATTGGGGTGGGCCTGGTGACGTTCGAGCTGTCTATCAAGTGTCAGATGTAGCACTCGGGGGCAATGTTGTGTCTTTCATCTTACTTTTGGCTTGAGAGCGGCTCGCCACGTCGCAGTAGTTCTCCTTCGGGGAGACCCTGCTTGTGTAATCCCGCTAGCATGGCATATTTGCGGCACGCCAAGAGCCGAACATCTTCCTGCGAGTAGGAGCGTATGGGATTGGAGCGATTCTTGATATTGGGAAGTGTTTGGTACGGAAGAGTGTCCAGCTCTCCCTCTGTGACGGGGAAAGCATTCATAGCTAATGTGGTGGCCGCATATCAGCTGTTTGGTATGGCGGCAGGTGAACATGGAACGATATGGCTCACTTACCCCTTATCCGATAGATTGTATACGTTCCCACTGGGTGTTTGAAGTTGTTTGCTTTTGTCCATAGGCTACGGACAACCCATTCGAACCATTCGGTTTTCCATTTGTCCTTTTGAGCACGTTGGGCATCGCTCAGCTGTTGGGACGGTGTCCGCGGCACTGCCCTTGGGGTTCTAGCTATGCTTCTTGGTGTTTGCGGTGCCTCGGCGGGTGTTGTGGGTGCCTTGTTCCGTGCTGCAGGTATCCTTCTCGGTGTTCTGGGCTTCTTGATTGGCGAAGAGTTGCTCGGATTACACTCGTCATCGGATTCTGCAGGCTGTCGTCGTCGTTTGCTCGGGGTTATGGGCTGCGCAGTGGGTGTTTGAGGGGATTCAGCCTTGACGGGCGGCATGGTGGGACGGTCGGCTAACAGTCATCGCCTGCGAGACAAGGTGGGTCAATGATGGTTCAAAACAAATGGTTTACGAGTTAGAGGCAAAGTGGTGTCTGGGAAGTTTAAAAGCGGAGGTGCCCGAGTTGCTTGGAAGGAGGTTGTCACAATGAACTCTCATGCTGAAAGGGTCACCCGACAACCGCACACGCCCCTCAATCGCCCATGTAAGAACACCAAAAGATTCGCAATATTTTCAAAGTACTTAGAAAATTCTAAAAACTTGCGGGATAACTATGATTAAGTCGTAGGCCACGATTATCGACTCCTTTCGTTTGTTCTTTTACGTTGCTGTGGTTAAATAGACTTTTAGGCGGTTGCGGGGTGTGGGGTAGCTATGGGCAGAAGCCTTCTAGGGGGCGATCCCGCGCTCTCTCTCACGGTCGATGTATTTTTAGCCTTCTTTTGATCCTTCCTTCTGTTCCCCTGCACTGCTTAACAGTCTGTTTGGTTATGTGACGAGGAATGTGAGATTTTAATTATTTGTTATTTAATAATCAACTCTAGCGTAATTATGTAATAATCAAGTCCTTAAATATGTACTGCATGAAGAACTGCATAAATCATGTATAAATCATTTATAAATCACAACCCTAGTAAACTAAGAAGTAATGTGCTTCTTCTCCTTTATTTTAATAGTGGGATTAATTAGACTGAATCAGGTATGCAGTTAATAGTGCTGCGTGGGTGAATACCACGCTGCCGACCTGGGCTATGTATTCAGGTACTGGGTAAAAAGCGGTCATCCAATTTCAAATTAGTGCTGACATCGCTAAATCTTAGGCTTCGAATCGCTAAACCTCGGAAGATACGTTGTGAGCCTCTGAAAAAGGGGTAGCCCCCGCTAGAGTCTCCAAGCGGACCCCTATCTTCTGAGGCCAGTGTCCAACATTGTAGTACCACGCTGCTAACTCTCCTCCTTTCTCCGCATCCAAGAATCTCTCTTCAATTCCATTGAGTCGTCTTCTCCTAGTTGATTCCTGCTGGTCAACGCTCCCCAGTCTCCAAACGTCACGTGACGGCCCCCAACCCAACCCCCGCGATGCCCTGCAGGGCTGAACGGCGGCCGCCCGATTACTCTGCAGTAGCCTCCCAGCCACGCTAATTTCTGATACGATGCGGCCCTTCCCGTGCTCACTTCTTTACTCATCCCTCTGTTCTGCTTTTTCAGCTGAGGTGTCTCACTGCATATATAGCGTACGACTCACGCGGCTCTCAACTCCACTCTCCTCTCATCCTTTTACTGCTCTCTTTCATCTCATCTCATCTCATCTGCACAACCTTTCAGCTCAAACCCCCAATCAGGCCCCCAGCCACCATGTCCCTCGCCTACCCTTCTCGCCCTCCCTCCCGGGCCGGCTCCCCACCCCCAGACCCCCCAGAAAAACAGAAACCGCCCCAAAAAGCCCTGGAAGAATTCTGGGACAGCATTATCTCCAAAGCCCCTGGCAAAGTATCCAACATCTTCCCCCGCAGCCTCTACGCCAACATCCTATCTCCCACCAAAACGTCCGGCACCTCGTCTGTTCGCAACGCGGCAGCGAGCTACGAGGAGGCGGCAGAACAGTGTAGGCTCAAGGTGAAGAGGATCGTGAGGGAGTGCCAGAGGACGAATGAGAAGTACACTGATCCGGACTTCGATCTTGAAGAAGATTTTCGGCGGAACAGGAAGAATTGTCTTCGTGGGCTTGAAACTGAAGAAGACTCCGATGACGAGGGACCCCCGAGAGTCGATGGGGGTGATTTGGGTGTGGCATTGAGCACGCTGCTTGCGAGTAATGTGTTGGGGTCGAGACCGAGTGTGAATTTGGATCTTGTGCCGTTGATGCAGACCCTGAGAGCTGGTAGTGGGGGCAGGAAGAATGAGCCGGAGGGTGTACATCGTGTGGACTGGATTTTCGACGAGCCGAGCTTTACGGTTGATGGCTTTGCGAGCTCTGATGTGCAGCAGGGGAGTAATGGGGACTGTTGGTGGATTGCTGCTGTCGCCACGCTCTGTTCCATGGAAGGGCTCATGGATCGTGTTTGTGTGGCGCGAGATGCCGAGTGTGGCGTTTATGGGTTCGTGTTTTATCGCGATGGGGAATGGATTAGTACTGTTGTGGATGATAGTTTGTATGTCAGGATGAGGGATTACGATGCCGATTTCGATGATTATGATCCGACAGGCGAGAAGGAGAGGAAGTATAAGGATCGGTATCAGACGGGCAGTGAGGCGCTGTATTTCGCGAAGTGTCAGAGTGCTAATGAGACGTGGCTGCCGTTGTTGGAAAAGGCGTATGCGAAGGCTCACGGGGATTACGATGCGATTGCTGGGGGGAATCCTGGGGAGGCAGTTGAGGATATGACAGGTGGTGTAACGACAACTATTATGACGAATAAGATTCTGAATAAGCAGAAGTTATGGAAGGAGTTGTTGAATGAGAACAAGGAGTTCGTGTTTGCGGCTTCGTCTCCATGGCTTGGGAAGGATACGGAGGCGAGGCAGGGGCTTGCTTTGAGCCATGCGTACTCTGTTCTCAAGGCAGTGGAGGAGGTTGGCGAGGATGATAAGAAGGTTCAATTGGTTCTAATTCGGTGAGTAACTCTGGGGGGTAGAAAATTTCTGTAGCCAGATTGCAAGAATGCCGCTCACTAACTCTCAGCAATCCATGGGGGAAACGAGCATGGAACGGGATGGGAGAGTGGAGCGGTCCCTGGAGCGATGGCTCCAAAGAGTGGACTCCCTACTGGATGAAAAAACTTGGCCATCACTTCGGCGACGATGGAGAATTCTGGATGTCTTTCCGTGACTTCTGCAGAAAATTCAATGTGATTAACCGAACACGCCTCTTCGACAAGAATTGGAGCGTTGTTCAGCAGTGGACCTCTGTCCACGTTTCATGGGTGATTGGATACTTGAAGACGAAATTCGTGGTCGAAGTGAAGAATGAGGGGCCAGTGGTTGTGGTGCTGAGACAGGTTAGCTACTCCCCTTCCGATGCTGCAAGATGAATGTTGACACATTCGATAAAATAGCTTGATGACCGCTACTTCAAAGGCCTTGAAGGGCAGTACTGGTTCGACCTCGAGTTCCTCCTGCAAGAAGAAGGAGCCGAGGAGGACGACTACATCGTCCGCGCGCGCTCCACCTCACCATGGGGTGACCGGTCCATCTCCGCGGAAGTGACCCTCAAACCCGGCAAATACGAAGTCCTCCCCAGAATCACGGCAGCCAGGGACACGTCGCGCCCTGTTGTAGAAGCGGTAGTGAAGTTGGCGGCCGAGAACAATCCGAAGAAGTTGAGGCAGATTGGGATGAATTATGATATTGCCCATGCAAAGGGTGGGTTCGAGTTAGAACTAGCACAGGAAAAGGACAGAGTGAGGAGGAAGAAGGAAAAGGAGGAGAAGAGACAAAAGGAGGAGAGATTGCAGATGGAGGAGGCTGCTAAGAAGGCGGCGGAGGATATGATTAAGGAGGAGCAAAAGGAGGCGCTGATGGAGGAGATCAAGACTGAGATGAAGGAAGAGGATAAGGGTGAAGGCTCAAAGGATGCGGACGAGAGCAAGGAGAGGGCTGAGGAGGAGACTTTCGCAGATGCTAAGGGAGATGCCAAGGCTGAGACGACCGAGGAGAAGGGTGAAGGGTCAGAGGGAAGCAAAAAAGATCCGAAAGAAGAGCCAAAGGACGAATCTAAGGAAGTTGCCAAAGAGAAGCCCGAGAAAAACGTCAGAGATGTCAAGGAAGTCAAGGAAGACGCCAAAACGCACTCAAGACACATATCAGACCCCGGGGATGCTCGTCAGACACAGACACACAAGGATGAAGTCGAGGTAACCAAAGTACACGAACCCGAGAAGAGGGGCCTTGACTCCACCAAACCACAACAAGAGGGCGAGAATGCTGAAGATACCGAGAAGGAGAAAGATGAAAAGAAAAAGGAGGGCGAGCCTGAGAAACCAAAGCCATCGGACGTTGAGCCGGCAGACAATCCCTGGAATGCCGTTACTGTCATTGGACTGCTGGTGTACTCGAAGGACCATGATGCGAAGGTGACTCTTGTCAAGCCTGCAGCGCCGGAGGATGATGTTTTGCTATGAGATGGTGCCAAAAGTTTCATTTGTAAACGATCGTGGTGTGGTGGATATTGGAGCGCGCAAGATATCCGACAGATTGAAGAAATTACATATCTTGCTCTCTGTTGTTTGCTCTATCTCTATATTAATACCGCTCCTCGTCAACATCTGTATCTCTAGGCAAACTGACGGAACGCCAGCGTCGACTGTCCCCGTTACCCCAGCTGGGATCCAACGTGCGCTGCAAAGTAGCCCTATAGAGTAGTCCGTGTGTTGATTAAGGAGTGCTCCCGCTTAGCAATTCCCAGTAGGTATTTGATAAAGGAAGTTAAAGGAGAACTTTCTCACACTTACCGCCTTTCTATTCCGGCAGCGGGTACCGTAGTTGCCTTTCCTCGCCGACCAGGCGATGTAGTACATACCCTCGGGCGCAAGCGTCTCTATAGTCAGTCCGATCCAAAAACGACAAAAATAAAAGAAAGTCTATTAGTATAGTTATACTCTAATCCCACAATCGCCGGTTCCGTTCTACACCTTGGACGTGAGCGGCAGCCGCTTTTACCAGAGATGGGGGTTAGCAGACCGGAGTATAGCCCGAATATAACCTAAACTAGGCGAGAGCAATCCGAGCCGAGTCTGAAAACTTCCGAGTCAGCCTGCAGCCCCGCCTGCCACAATACGGGTTCTATTCGGACTCCATATGCGACCCGGCTATAGCTTCCTGGCCGGTTTTACCACATGACCAGTTTCGCTCTCCATATCGAGGGTTCCAACCAGAGCCGGTTCTAGATCCTTTCCGGCAACGGCACGGGACTGGTGTTGGCACTCAGGATACTGGAATTCAGACCATAGGGGGCCCGTAAAGCTACCCTCACCGAAGAACGCAGACAGCCCCTCACGATGCCATCGGGTGAGCCTTGGCCTGTGCGCCCGCCCTTATTCGAACTGGATTAACAAATCCTATTATTAAACTCTTTGATTTGAGATCCATGATTCGCTACAATCTTGCGTATATTTGATCACGGAAAGGCGCAATTGGTGGCTGCATAAGAGATAGGCAGCTGGGCTTTGTTTTTTTTTTTAGTGAGGCGATGCCTTTGACGAGGCGGAGGCCACGTGGAAGGGTGGGGTGAGGTCGGAGGTTGAACTTTGATACTTTCTGCCAGCCTCCCTGGAACGGAATACTCTGGTCCTCTCTGAATTGTTTGGGGCTTTTGATAACTCGAAGAATTGCTGTGACACTCGGAAAAATGGCAGCCTCCGCAATGCCAGAGAATACGCTGTCGCAGCCACTTTTGGTTCCACCGTCTGCTCCTTCAGAGTGAGCTTGGAAATCGTCGCATTTTTACCATGACAACTCAGCTAATCCATTCTAATATTCAATAGCCTATGGAAATCAATCTACGGCAACTTTATCCCTCAGTTTGAGCAGCTTCGGCACCGAGGTATCATCACGTCGGCACAGCTCAAGACTATCAAAGGTGCCCAAGGAGCACAGGACCTCCTCGATGCCATTTTACAACACCAGGGCGTGACACCCGAGCAGCGCACTGTGAGCCATATATGACTTTGCATAGTTGAATTAGTTGCTAAGTAATTTGGAAGTCCTCTGCTCCTCGCGTCGTCGAAAACTCAACGGTTTGGTCGCTAGAAAAGTTCCGCACATTCGGAACTGCCATAGACACTTTGGCGCAGGCAAATTTCATTAGTTGCCTCTTCTGGGGTGGCTTAAAGGCTGCACTTATGGTTTATACACCAAATTTTAGTTTCTTAGTCTTTGTTCTGACTACTGATGGTTTTAATCTAGGTGATAAACGATGTTAGAGACTCAAAATCCGACCTTATCCAACAGTTCCATGAAATTGTTCACATCGTCAACCTTGTCGGCGAATACCGAAAACTTCTCGAGGATATACATGGCTTCCGTGACAAGATAGAACCGCCAATGAAAGAATTTTACGAAGGTGTTCTAGTGTGGACGTTGCACTGCTTCAGCTGCTTACCTCGGGCTCGGGGTAGTTTCCCTCGTAAGATTACGATTAAGATCCCAATCCCGTTTTCATGCCCGCTAATTGACATAACAGGTCAACTGCTAAATGGTCTGAAAAAATCTCAACCATTAGCAAAGATCGCTGGCGCAAACTTCGCGAGAATCAGGATAGCGAAACATAAAATTCTTGATATTGTCGAGCAAGAAAAGTTTCGTCAATTCAAAGGTAGTTCCGAATTCAAAACGAACTAGCTTAAGAAGCTCTAACAATAGCCTTTGAGCAGCAACGTTCGGACCTCTTGCACTTGCTCGAACTGGTAAGGCGAAATCTGACTCTCTGAAAAGAACGGACTTAACATGAGAAGACCAGAACGCGAGCTCTGATGAAAACGGCCCACGACTATGGAGTGTATCAAATTCTCCACCATTTCCGCTTTGTAATAGATTTCTTGGGAGGAATGATGCCATGTCTGAATTGTGTCAACTGTTGCACAAGAGCGGACGAGCCGCCATATGGGGATGGACTGGCATGGGCAAATCCCAACTCGCTTTCCAGTACCTCTCGACATCAGCACAAAAGTACCAGCTAAAATATTGGATAGATTGTTCTTGCTTGGCATTTCTGGAGAATTCAGTCAAGAATATGATGGCGCGGATGAGCTTTCACGCACGAGGAGAGAATCCTGATTTGGCAGTTGAAATTCTCTGCGATGCCCTCGAGCAAACAGAACATCCCTGGCTCCTCGTTTTAGACGACTGCTGCACAGCCACAATCGCAAGAGTGTGGAAGCTCCTTCCATCAAGAAACGGCCACGTCATATTTACGACCAAGGACCTTCAGGTTGCTCAACAACTTGTTCTTCACGTTCCTGAGAGGTGTATTAGACCGGGTCCTATCTCTCATTCTGATAGTCTTCAGCTCCTACTCGGCTCGTTGAGTCAAGACGCTGAAGCCAATCCTGAGGAAATCCAAGCAGCGGAGAAGATCAATTCCGTTTATACTCTGGGGTGGCCTTACGCAATCTCCATTATTGCGTCCCATGCTAAACACCATGTTGGCTCAAATCGCTTGTCAATCCTTCTACGCCTGCTTGAGTCATCAGAATACCGAGACACGGTGCTGACAAACGAACTGACTGAAGTTTCCGTCCGGAAAACGCTTGAAGCATCTCTTTTGGATCTTCCACTCCCCGTTCGAGCTCTCCTTTCAGTCCTTGCATGCCTCGATGCCGTCTCATTTCCTAAAAGGCTACTTCTCCCACTGGTGCCTCTAGGCAGTCGTTTAATTCCTATTCCCCTCGCCGATGGCAATTCTCATGCAGTTCAATTGAGTTCATTTTCGGATCAACTCGAACTTGAGCTTCATATTGCAGAGCTATCGAGACGTGGGTTTATTTTCCAAAAGACAGGTGCTGACGGAGAGACCAATTATTGGATGCATCGACTCCTGATCTCCACCGTTCAGTCAACTCAGCTGAACATTGATCAAGGCATGGAAGCTCTTAAAACTGCTCTAGACATTTGCGAAACTTTTTTCCCAAACGACGAGGGCAGTCCAGAAACATGGAGGAATGCTGCAGATTCGTTTCAACAATTTGATGCCTGTATATCATTTGCGGCAAAACATCGACTTCATGAAGAGGCCGCAAAGACAACCATACTAAAACGAGGATATCTGTTATATCACTGGAAAGGAGATCACCGGTCCGCTGAAGAAATTATCGTCTCTCTTCTCCGAGGACCCCGTATACCACTACACCAGCGGTCAAATACAGATTTAGAGCTTCTGGCTCTACTGAGCCTTGTTAGATCGTACATAGGAATGACAAATATCCAGCAACTCCGTGCGCACCACCGGCTGTACAAACCGATTCTCTCCGAATGTTTGAAACGATTCAAGCCTCCAAATGATATCATCATTAGCCTGATGACCAGAATTGGAAATAACGCGATGAGACACGACTGCAACGAGAGCCTGGTGCTGTTAGGTCGGGCCTACCGGCACAGATTGTCAATTTCTCCATTCGGGAGAAATCACCCAAGTACGCTTTCAACGTATTGTTCGTTAGTAAAACTCAACATCGAGCAGGGATATTTTGACAAGGCACTAAAAATGCTTTCCAAACTTGAAGCTCGCCTTCGCAATACCGACAAGTCCACGTGGACCACCATCTACTGGGGAAATTTGTTTTACAATATGTCTTTGACATATAGAGACCTCGGATTTCGCGAAGAAGAAGAAAAGTTTGCTCTTCTCTCTCTACAAGCCGATCGGAAGGGTCTTGAAACCAGCCATCGTTTCCTGACATTCTCAGCCGGGCAATATGTACAGTCTTTAGAGAGATCGGTATTACCTGGCGATACCTCTAACGCAGTAGCGACATTTCTCAAGGATGAACGCTGTCGCCTTGAATTGAACGTCTTACATGAACGGTATTGGGAAGTGTTTTTGAAAAACTCGGCAATGCGAATCAGCATCTTGATTTTCTGCTGCGCAACTATCTCCTCCGCCATTACCGCGTTTGATAATATTGTAGGACTCTACCGCGAGAATAAGATCGATCCATGGCAGCTGTGGAGCAAGGAGATGTCTGATGCTTACTATGATGAAGATCTGAGACTGGGACTCCGTAAAGCGATAAAAGTACACTCAAGCGTCACCAAGATCTTCGGTACATATTCCAAATGGTTTCAACCTCAGCAAGAATTTTTGCAAAATAATTTAATGACCATTCTATTGGAAACGCTGCTGCATGGAATCGATAGCGAGGGCGAGAAACAGAACTTGAGGATGTTAACCGCCCTCTCGAATGATCCTTTACAAACAAGCTACGTGGCACTGAGAAATAAGTACGTTACTATATGGCATGGCGCATGGTCTGAGATTGAGAGAATATCACTTGCATATGATATCAACTGTTATATTCAGCCGGAGCATTTGTGCTTCGTCGGGATAGAAAGCAAAGAGTTGGAGTTGACTGTTCTTATGAGCGTTACACTCTCCGGAAGTGTCCCTGCAGTTGACCTTGTGATGAGTAAACAACCCAGTGTTCATGTTGAGAACTCTAGCGGGGATACAGCTCTCTTCTATGCGGCAAGGGGGCATCATTTCGACATATTTATCACCCTGCTCAAAGGGTACGATTGTGATCAACCACGCCCAAAGATGGTCTTCGGTCAAACCAGTCTTCTCCATCTCATTTCAAGAAAAACCTGGCAATCACACGCAGAAGCAAAGGATCGGCAGCAGCGCGCTGCTATTGAGTTACTGGATAGATGTACAGAAGCAGATTTGGAGATGAAAGATGAAGACGGGAAAACGCCATTGGACATCGCTCGCGCTGACAAGGTAGTGGGACTTGTTAGGATATTCGAAGATTTCATTGCTAAGAGGAAGCGATTTTAAGAAGAAGAAAATATGAGATTGGCTGGATATGTTACAAAGCAGGAATAGTTATTATATTTTGTGTAATACTAAAGCCGGATAATATTAAATATAATATATCTAGGTGAGATAGCACTTAATACTAAATAGATAAAAGCAGTAAAATATTCCCAAAACAGCAGGTTTTGTTACAAATTGCATTAGTATTATTATAAGAAAAAGTCAAATAATACTTTACTCTCCAGATATTAATTAGGGCTATTAATTAAGGGCAAGACTAATTTATTAACTTAAAGTAAAAGCGCCCGAATAGAAATACTAAATAATTAAATTTTAGCTTATTTCTTAAAGTTAATTTACTTTATAAGGCATTAATTAAAATTAATACTTTATTTGTTTTATAATAAAAGTAACTAAGAATTATTTAAATATAAGCTTTTATAAAGAAATAATTAATAATAATTTTTTAACTTAATTAAAGAAATTAAAAATTAATATTTTATTGCCTGAAAATAGTTTTAAGTAAGCTGACTAATCCCGCATACCTGTGGTGAGGTTGGGAGTGATGATACCTGCGTGTTCATGCTCAACGGGAGGGGCTGAGCGCCGTTGGGGAATTTGGAGTGTATTCACGGCGCTGGAAACGCTTGTCCTACCTGTCAATTGGAGGAAATATGGAGTTATAATGTTCCCAAGGCGGAAGAGGATTTAAACTTCGCTTAGCGCCTTGTCATTGGCTTAAGGTCAAAGAGAACCTATGAAGGAGCAAAACTTTTCGTGTTCGTGACATCTCTAACATCTCCGCTCAACTCTCGACTCATCCAAATACATTCACATCCAGGTGCCAAGCGGCACAAATAACAAACTCCGCATCCAAACCATTTTCAACATCTGCAAACACAAGCCTTCATAACAATCACCCTTTCTTTTCCCACGAAGCTTGCCATTCGCTAAGGAACTTCTCTGCTGAGCTTACTTTGTCTCCAGTTACTTCGCTAGTCTCCTTCGGCAGACGCGGAGGTGAAAGTTTCTCGGTGATGGTCGGAGGATCAGCGAGGTATTTATCGAGCATCGGCGAATCAGCCTGTTTTTCAATACTCAATCGTGTCAGCTTGCGAATCTTTGGATGCTGAAGTTGGAATTTTACTTACCTGCCACCATCGTCGCTGACAGCCATCGAGGGGTTTGATCTCGCAGACATTGCTGATGGTAAAACATCTCTTAACAGATGTAGTAAATGCAAGTGTACTGATGTTTCCCGCAGCCGGATTCAGATGGAGGCTGGTGTGAGTTTTATAGCAATGCATTTTCCTCCAGAATCCCGGAGGGGACTATGGGCATGGCCAGCACAGTTGATCAAGACCACATATATTGTGCAGTAAAACATTTTGGGTTTTCAGCATTACCACAGAGAAACGTTATGGATATTTCCTTCAAATACGCCAGAACACAATTTTGTGCCTTTTGATCTCATTCGCTCGTGTGAGCACAGCCTTGGATGCGGAGGATTTGCGCCAATGGTGTTGGAAAACACAGTCGTGCGTTCTGTGGCACCTCACCGCCCACATCCAACTTCACTGCTTCAGACATGAATACAACTCGAAATTTTCCGTTCTTATCAAGATATAAACTTCTTTCGCGAGTCGCACTTCTAGCATCCATTATTACTGGGAGATCTTGGAGACCATGCTTTCTTAACATCTCACGTATTTTCTGCCCTCAGCCTCGTCGCTCATGATATACCATTTTTCCGAGTCGGTTTCACTTCTTTCGATCCACAGCTATCAATAGTTTGGAATTGAGGCACATTTTATACTTCCTCCCATCCACCGCGGGCTTGAATTCGCCGCCTATTTCAGCATGTCTTTCGATACGACAAACGAGATGCAGCCGGAGCACCAGCAAGAACTGCCATCCTTGACGGAAGCTCAAACAATAAATCAGCAATCCTTAGCTGAATTTAACGGTGGTGGCAATGGCGGCGTCCTAGGAAACTATATGAGAGAAAAGAAAGAGGAGGGTCAGAGAGAAGCCTGCGGAGATGGAATTGTTCCCGTTGTTACGGCACTCGATGATGACGACGAAGTCGAAATTGTTCCGGATGTTGGAGACAAAGAGGTTTGTTATGGCCGAATCGAAGGGGCAGAAATCAGCGCTTTCAATGTTCCGACCCCCAGGCCAGGAGCCACTGCTATTTCGAGTGGATACTTGCCACAGGTAAAGATTGTATTGCGGAGACGTGTTGGGGAGAGGACAAATACGATTTATGCAGTAGATAGTACGCGTGAGATTATTGGATATGTCGACGTTAATACCTCTATTGGACTCACGCCTCTCCTTGACTCAAAGATCGGGATCCGGATAGCGGCTAGGATACTGACAAGACGAAAACGAGATGGTGACCCTCCTCCAGGTACGGAAATATCTAAGAGATATGGACTCGATTTGAATATTTACGGCCCAAAGAAGTACGCCCTCCCAATTGGACGCCATCTCTCTCAGAAACAACTATGTCTGCGAACACCTCTTTTTGTCGAGGCCGGAGTTGAGCTTCACAACCCTCACGCCATACAAAGACCACCTCAACCACCCCCACAAAGCACGGGGGCCTCTTATGGATACCGTCAGCAAGGCCCAGTGCGCACCACGGAAGAGATTACTAGGCAAGACTGGCAGTCACAGAGGGATTTAATGCACCACCTCTACATCACTGAAGGGTCCGCCCTGCAGAGCGTAATGGATACCATGGGATCACAAGGTAGCCAGACGACGAATGCCGACGGCTCACTCCCAATGGCTCATGGGAACCCCTCCGCATCACCGTATCAATCGGGCTCATACAAGGACGGAGATAATCTTGCCTCTTCGTCAACGCCATTCCCCTGGAATGACATTAATGGGAATGAACCGCGCCCATACAAAGCGCGACTATCCAGCAATCATGAAGGCTCTTCGGAAAATGACTTACACAATGGAGATGTAGTCTTTTGGGAGGTTCTGGACCAAACGGAGGACGAAGAGAGAGATATCGATTCTTTCGGTATGACTTACTCGGAAAGTGCGGGTATGGGGATATTTGACCTTGATGAGGCACCTGGAGAGGAAGGTGGAATGGAGGTGAAAGATGGTGATATGCCTTTCACAGACTCCGGGTACAAATCTGCACCCAATTTGGAACATTGTCCAATTGTCCAGTCCGACATCGAGAAATCGCTACACTCTCTCAACGTTGATTCCTCTCTGCCAACAGGGGACGGAGACGACAACGATGCAAAAACATTGTACTCGATGGGCACCACGGTGAACCAGGGGCATGCTCAAACTTATATCATCGAACTATCCAAGGACATCTACAGCAAGCTACACCGATCTATTGACGCCAAAGACCTAGATGTGCTCTCAAAGGTACTTCCAGAACTTGTCAAGGCTTTTGCCATCAAACTTTGTCACGATGCTCCTTCTCATGTGAATCGTAAAATAATGCATTTCATCCATAAACGACATCAGTAGGTCTTCCTTTTCATATGGAGGGGAATATTTGAGGTTAACCAGCTTTCCCAGAGAAATTATTGCACAAGTCCAAGTGATGTTCAACTCTGTGGACGAAGAGTCTGAGCTAGATCGTATCCAAAGGCATCGTGGAGACATGTCCATTTTTGACAAGATAAGCATGTGGATTAGTAAGACTGGACAAGACCATCCAATCCATCACAATGCCGATTTGTTCCAGGGTGTCAAGGGCGATGATGAAGATTCAATCGGCCAGAGCGAGTTATCTGTACACCACAAGATCATCCTCGACAGCCCGGCCTATGAGTGGTTTCTCAGTAACGTGGTAAAGGAGTCTGTCATAAAATTAGAGACATCTCAACCACGTATCCGCCAACGAATCCTAGATAACCTTCCGACCGGAACCATTAGCAAACGTCGAATCCCGAAAGCCTACGAAGTCACATTCGACCTTGAATGGCAACATACCATGGAGGAGAGACTTCGACACGAGCTCTCGGAGGAGTCCAAATACCCGAAACCATTCTTCCGTGAATTCATTGTCATGACAGGATCTCCGTGCGAGGCCCAGGGGCTAACCATTAAAGAATATCTCACGCAAACATGGCCCGTGACCGGGTTAAAACTCTTTAATGTGCTTGGAAATGCAGTCACGAGCATTGCTCAACATTCCCTCGGTAAGTCTGAAGATGTAGTCGGCTGCCTAAATCGTGCTAATTCGCACATAGTTACTTTACCGGGAAATACCCAATTGGAGATCAGAATCCGTTCTTCCCATCTCATCCTGACAGCGACAGGACCAGCCTACTTTCTCGGAGACTGTGGCGAGTCATTAGCTTGGATAGGATCAGCGCTACTTAGCAACACCCGAAACCCCAGTAATTACTGTCTACCTCTTATTGCAAATTTTTGGATTGACCCCTTGAATTCGACCTTGCTGAAGTACAAAGGCTACTGCAACTTCAACTTCACGGTTACGCCAATGCCGACTTCGGACGAATATTTGCCAGTAATACAGAATTTCAGTCGAGATTTTCTTGGAGAAAATTCCATTATTCTAGGGTTCCCAATTCGCCGAAGACCGGAGGGCTACCCAGGGCTTGAGCTCTCTTTTGATACACTCCTGCGTTATGTGCACGCACCAAAGGCTGAGATATTTGACCGAGATGTTTTAATTAGAGGACAAAAAAGAGTGCTGAAACTAATCAAGCACACCGACAATATCTTTCTTTGGCGGTCTGACCACTCTTTGGCAAATTACTCTTCTTGTTGCAAGGCAGGTCATGCTCAAAACTACAGTTCTCTTGAATACCCTGCTCTAGTGGCCGGTCGCCATATCCTCAGCAAATTTGCGGATGCCGCTGCTCCTACAGACGGCGACGAAGGTGTGTATCATGATTGCTTGGGCCAGAAAGCAAATTTTCTAATGGTGTGTGAGTGCAGATATCCCCTGGATCTCAGAGAAATACTTCTTTACTGACACCAAAACTGCTCAATCCCGTGCCATGACTGAGACAAATCCAGCTCACGCTCCGGGGATTCCTTCTATCGATATGACTGCTGCTCGAAATTTTGGAAGATTCTCCGCGCCTTCCGAATCTCAGTATAAAAATACTTTGAGATCACCTAACCCTAGATCTGTCCATTCCGTTTCGGAGAACGATCTGCGAGCAATCCCCACAGAGAATATAGAACGATTTGAATTGCTATCAAATGGCCCGAATAAGTCGTCTACTGAATTTCAACTTTCTCCGAGGCTGGAATCTCTCGAAAACTCGTTAGATTCAGATATGCTTTCAATATCTGATTCCTCAGACGACGTCGAGCTAGTAGATAGCCAAGAGGCAGTGTATCCGATTCTCAACAATATACTTTATGAGCTTCTTGCCGGATTTCGAACTGCAACCCAACATCAACCATTTCCTGGTGAGGGTGGGCGGAACTCTGGTCCAGTCGCGAGTACAACTGAGCCTTCTCAGCCTCGAGTCAATTCAAGACCCAGTCAAAAGAGACGCCTACTGCCCGATGAGGAGGATGATACTGACGAAGACGGTTCTCGTCTACCCCGTCCGAAAAGAATCAAATCAAGTCAGGACAAGAACCCCCCGAAATCTTTTGCCTGTCCCTTCTTAAAGTGGGGTCCGACGAGATACAGAAGATGCTGTGTGAAGGTGAAGAAACTAAGCAGTATTTCATACGTCAAACAGCACCTCGTCAGGAAACATACTCCTGAACGCTATTGTCAGGTTTGCCAGGCAGCCAACTTCCCAGATGACAATAGCTTAGTAAGGCATATCAATATTGGAAATTGCACTCGCCGAGACCGCACCATGATAGATGGAGTCTCATATCAACAGCGCTCTCGGCTGTCCCGAAAATCTACGCCAAATGCCTGTAAAGAGGATCAATGGTTTGCGATCTGGGACATCCTATTCACAGGATGTCAAAGGCCCAACTCGGTTTATATGGACACCGATTTGACCCAGGAAATGCTCCAGCTTCATGAATACTTTACCAGCCGAGGGCCAGCAATAATTAGGGAACATATTGAGTCTGATCCATCTTGGCGGGGCTTTGGGGATAATGAAGAACAGAGTAGGGTGTATCTAGAGAGATTAATTGCTCAAGGGTTCAACACCTGGTTCGAGGATTGGCTCTCGAACGGCGCTTCAACCTCGATATCTCCGCAGCTCCTGGGGAGTCGCACCGTAGAACAGTCACAATATGAAACTCCGACGGACTCGATTGTGGATAGCGGTGTGGCGATGAGGATTCAATCTTCTTCCAGGGAGACCAACTCGCAAGGAAGTGGATTACCTCCAGCGTTCAGGAGCCCAGAAGTGGGCTCTGCTTCTCAGCTTGCGGCAGCAATTGCTCGAACACGAAGTCCCTCGATGGTGCAAGGGCTGCCAGCGATACAGAACCCGACAGATGCACAGAGCTTTCCATCTACTTCTCTCGGTTCCGCCGCTGGAGGTCAGGATTGGGATTTAGGATATCAGGGCAGTGGTTTTGAGACGGGACTTCAGGCTACGTTCGATTTCGACACATTTCTAGAGTCGGAAGATACATCATGCTATTTTCCACAGCCGGATCGAGATTACCTGAATGTAGGCCCGTCCGCAGAGACTGATGGGTACTTGTAACGACACAAAATTGACACTAGTTCAGGTCCAATGACTTGTTTACAAGCAGTTGACTTGGCAGACTTTCTTTTCAATGAATACAGAGCGAGTAATAGGTCAGGTCGTTGTCCTGCCCAGTCGGCGTCGGAGTGTACGACGAGTCCCCGGTACACTCCCCATATTCTAAGTGCACAGGACGATGTGGCTAGGTGTCATACACCAATCGTTAACGCAGGTGCCCAGGCGCCAGGTACTATGAAAACACGGGAGGATAAAGGAGCCACGGCGCCAACGCCAAAAATAGATGATGTGGTCTGTACCTACAATCGAACTGTCTCGGGACAGTCCATTCCACAGTCCGACTGTCCCCAATTCTACTGATAGGCTAGGCGGTAAAGCGTGTTTTGGCGCTCTAATAGCTTCCCTGCAGTTCTCATTAATAATATAACCTCTTCACTTAATATATAGTGATTTTGGTAGTATTCGAGGCCAACTTTATACCTGCCCAAGGTATTATAGTTAGGAATTATAAAATATAGAAATATTCTACTATTTAGAGATTTAGTAATATATTATTACTGTCACGATTCCCAGATGCCAGATGCCTCCTAGGCGCACGTGACGCGGCCGCCTCGCTAGGGAAATATGCTTGGAATACACTGGAGATATTTAGAAGGCTAGCCCCTTCAGGACTAGCGCACTGTGGGGTGCATATACTCCCTTGCAGCCTCCTGTATTCTAGTTTTCCCTTCCTTAGCTTTGAATCGTCTTCGTAAGGGACCTTCTACCTTACTTTCCAAGCCCTGAATGCCGTACCCGTAACAGTATTCAAAGCTCACTCCCTTTAATCCTGTAGAGGATTTCAAATAAACTAATTCAGAACTATCAGAAATATAGGTACCGCCAAGATAACGGAACCTCAGAAACTCGAGTAATAGACTTCAGAATAATAAAAGCAAAAAGCTTCAGAACCCTCAGAGAAATTAGATATTTATACCTTTACAAACATACGCCAGTAGCGCGTTAGAAACCCTCCTGAAAACCCAAAAAATCGAAGAACCTTGAATAAAGACTATTCTTTAACCAAGTCCTAAAGCAATAGGTATCTATAGGCCAGTAACCTGACTACTACCCTTAAGCTCTACCCTATAACCTCGTAGGCCCTATATATATACCGGTAACGAGACTGCCAGAAAGGATATAGTAGAGGAAAAGTGTAATAGGTCGATTTCCTAGAATACTATATAACCAGGAACTATATCGACTTCTGCTAAGGCTTCCGGTAAAGCTCCTGCTAGTTCAGGTTATCCCGTTAGCGGCCCTTCCTGAACCGAGTATCCCGTTAGTATTCCTAGAGAATTTATAGACGAGTTTATAGAAATAGAACCCTCTACTTTTATTATAAAGCTTCTAGAGACTGAAAACTATATTACTGCCGGAAAGTTATATAAATAGGCTAAAGAACTTAATATCTTACTCTCAGATATTAATATTATTATAAAAAGCTACCGGAAGAATATCTAAAGAGCTATTTTATATAAGAATGCCTATAATTATAATAAAGCTATTCTTGAGAATACTAAACTCTATAATACTAAGCTCGAGAACAAAGTCAAATACTATATAACTATAGTAGATTGGCTTATAGTAATTCTAACTGCTTCTACTCTATCTGCTCTAACTACTCTAAACCCCTTTTAAAAGAATTCCGAACTATCTCTTATTTATTTCCGTCTAGAATTTCCTATATCTTATACTTCTTTTAGAAATACTAGAATTACTAAGCTTCTAGATCTAACTCTCTTTACTAGAGATTATACTATCTTTAATAACTGGCTAGTTTAGATTAAGAATAAGCTATAAGGAAATACTAATTTATATCTTTCAGAAAATCTTAAGATTATTTATATTTCTAGTAGACTTACTAGTAATACTTTTATTCTAACTAACTCTTATATAGATAAAGATAGTCCGAATTAGTACCGTTAGCTCTTAGAGTTCTACTTTTACCTAAAGAAGCTATATTCTAACTCTAATAAAATATAAAATACTTACTATAACTTTAATAAGCTTTAAATATATTTTAGTTAAGTATTTTAGAAGTTCTATATTTTCTTCTTATAGCTATCTATAAAAAGCAGTATTAGTTTTTAAAATATTAAGTATAAACTAAATAAGAAGCTTCTATTAAAGCTTTAGAAGTTAGTATATATATACTATAATAATTTATTTATTAATACTACTTATTTTACTTAATACTATATTACTAATAATTAGTAAATTAAAGCTATATATAAGAAGACTAAAGAGTATAAGAAAATAGAAGCTATTCTAGCTAAATTTACTTCTAGTATTATATTCCTATATATTTCTAAAAAGTATACTTCTAAAAAAAAGTCTAAAAAACTTATATTAACTACTTTTATTAAATATATACTCTTTTATAAATATAAGTAATGTCCTATAAAAACCGAGAATCTCTTAATTATTAAGTACTATAACTATAACAAGTTCGGCTACTATACTAGATACTATCCGCTTCTATATAATAAGAAAACTAAGATAGCTCTCTCTAGAATTAAGCCAGATTTAGTTTCTATTTTACTGGAATATACTATTTAAATAAAGTATTTAAAGAATTTAAGCTCTAATTCTAGTATAGAACCGGGAAATAAGTACTTTTAAAGAAAGTCTCTATTTTAAGGGCTTATAATATAGATTTAATAAAGATTAACTTGATTTATCTAATAAAAGAAAATACTTTTATAATACTTTATACTATTAATATAAATGAATTAGAAATTAAGTCTTCTTTCTTTATTAATACTAGAGCCAATAGTTATACTTTTATTAATATAAAGCTTATTTAGTTTATAGAGTAATTCTTAGAAATAGAACTATAATTTCTTTCTTTACTCTATACTATATATAGTTTTAATAGAAAGCTAGCTAAATTTACTAAGAAATATATAGAAATCTTATTTCTAATTAATAAATAAAGTATTAATATACTTATAATTATTCTAAACTTTAGAGATTATAATATTATCCTTAATAGGAAATAAGTAATATATATTAATATTCTAGTTAATTATAAAAGATATAAGCTTATATAACTAAAAAAAAAAACAAGCCTAAATCTATATAATTTAGTTATATTATTAGTATTTTATAATAATAGCTAGAGAAGTAACCTAATAAGAAGTATTAAAAGAATATTAATTAATAAGATTTTATTATAAGCTATTTCTGGAAATCTTCTATTCTAGAATAGTCTTTCTTTTTTCAGACTAATTAGAAGGAATTATATAAAACTATAGAAAAGAAGTTTCTATAGCCTAATTAAAATATAATATTTAAATAAAAGCTAAAGAAATAGAAAGAGGTTCTTAATAAAAAGCAAATATTAGATCTAGCTATTCTTATCTCTATAATATTTAACTATATAGCTAAAAGAGAAAATAATATTATTAGTCGAATCTTTATCTATAAAATTAATAAGAAGCTTAAAGCTTAGAAAAAAGAAGCTATTTCTGGCCTAAAGAATTAATAACCGGAAGAAATAGAGCTTTAGTAGCTATAGAGAATATTATTTCCGGAATTTAAGAAATATACCTCTATTTTCTCTAAAAAGAAATCTAATATACTTTCTTTCTATAAATTATATAATTATAAGATTTAAATTAAAAACCTAAAAGAAACCGAAAGTATTAGATATTAATCTTTTTAGTAGTAGTTTACTTAAGAGCTTCTAGAAATCAAGTATTTCTTAAAAAATAATCTAGCTAAAGGCTTTATTAAAACTAATTAGGCTCTCTTTATTTTACTAGTTCTTTTTATAAAGAAAGTAAATAGAGGTTTATACTTCTATATTAATTTCTACTATCTAAATAATATTACCTAAAAGAATTAATATCTTCTTCCTTTTATTAATAAAACTTTAAATTAATTATCTAAGACTAAGATCTATACTAAATTAGACATTTACTAAGCTTTCTATTATATAGCTATAGACCTGAACTCTTAGAAGCTAATAATATTCTGTATCTATTATAGAGTATATAAATATAATATTCTCTAGAAAAGCTTTATAAATAGTCTAGCTATATATTAATACTATATAAATAATATATTCTTTAAATATCTAAATAACTTTTATATAGTATATCTTAATAATATTCTTATTTACTTAGAGAATCTAGTAAAGTATAAATAATATATATAAAAAGTACTAGACTATTTATATTTTACTAGCCTCTAAATAAATATTAAGAAATCGGAATTTAAAGTTATATATATAAAGTATTTGAGCTTTATTATCTCTATATCTAATATTAAAATAGATTCTAATAAAGTCGAAGTAATATATAACTAGTAATTTCTAAAAATAGTTAAGAATATATAATTCTTTTTTAGCTTCTATAACTTTTATAAATACTTTATTAAAAAGTATAGACAGATTACTAGATCTTTTACCTTATTTATAAAAAAGAATATTTCCTTTAAATAGTCCGAGTAATATTAAAAGGCTTTTATTTATCTAAAGAAAGCTATAATTTCTATTCTAGTTTTATAATACTATAATTCAGATCTGTCTATAATAATAGAAACAAATATATCTAAAAAAGTAATTACTAGCCTACTTTTTTAATAAGACCTAAAAACAGGCCTTTAGTATTCTATAGTTTATTTTTCTAAAACTATACTTCTAGTAGAGCTTAATTATAATATATATAATAAAGAGATATTTACTATAATTCGAGTATTAGAAAAATAGAAAGCTAAGCTAGAGAGCCTTTAGGATACTTTCTTTAAGGTTTATTCTAATTACTATATCTTAAAGTATTTTATAACTACTAAGAAGCTTTCTTTTTAATAAGCTAAATAGGCTAAACTCTTATTTTACTATTATTTTAAACTTATATATTATTCTGGAAAATTAAATAAGTAAATAAATACTTTATTATAAAGATAAGATAAAGTAGATATTTAAGGCCAGATTAAGAAAAAGCTATAAACTC